TCACCCTCACAGGGCCTCTCACCCTCACGGGGCCTCTCACCCTCATAGGGTTTTATACTTTCTCAGGTTCTCACACTGTCACATCAAGGGACCGGAGCCCCTCACGAGGCCCCTCACCCTGATAACCCTACTGGAGTCTAAAATCAACCATCCGACTGGGAACCTGTGGCGGCTGCAGGCTCTGTGCTAAGAACCCCTGTAGTGACCCCGTGGCTGTCTGAGGGAGAGGGTGAGATGTGCTGGGAGTGCCGAGCAGAGCCCCCTCCATGCGTGGGTGACAGGTCCCTCAGAAAGTGCAGGCGGTGGCAGGTTGTGAGCTAAGAACGAGGGAAGTGAAGACTGGGGGCGGGGGGGGTCTTCACCAGAACTCTGGCCAGGCCAATGGAAAAGGGGGTGGCCGGCAGGACATATCAACACGGCACATCACTCAAACCCAGCGGCTGAGTGTGGATGCATGGTGGGTAAGTTCCAGCGGCCGGGCAGTGGCCTGGGCTGCCACGGGAGGTGGGGGCCAGGCTGAGGAGTGCGGCCCTGAGGCTCTGCGAACAGCAGCCACCACCTGCGCCTATGAGTCAAGCTTCCTGGGGCTCGTACACAACCCCAGCTGAGACCACGGGCCTGACTCCAGACACCACTGACTTCCAGCAGTGACAGAAGAGCCTGGGGCCTGTGCTTGCCGCTGGCACCGCCCAGCAGAGGGCCTGTGGGAACCAGCCTGCTCCCACAGGGCTGCTCCTACCCTGGCCTGGATTCCCTCCCAAGGTCGAAGCCTCCCAAGCAGCTGCAGAAGCTCTGGGGTGCTGAAGGAGGCGTCAGCGGCTGAAGCCTCCTTCCCCCAGGCTGCAGAGCCTCCTGCCCCGCTGCCCACGCCCACCAGGTGGCGCTGCCGCCCAGCCCTAGGAAGATCCAGGAAGCGCAGGCCCTGGGGGTGCGGCGGGCACTTCCGGAAGGACAGATGCTCTCAGAGCCAATGAGGCAGGGAACCACCTCACCCTTAATGTGGTCACACCGACAGGGCTGTCCACGGGTGCCACTCACTCCTGGGGTGCTGAGAGGAGAAAAGGGCTGAGCCACACTAAGGGCTGGGCCTCAGTGAGAAGAAACACGGGATAGGACATGGAAACCCAAGCAGAGACATGCATGGCCAGAGTCGCCGGGGGGTGAGGCCCCAGGAAAAGGGGGTGCCCGGCAGGCAGTAGGCACTTCCTGTCTGTGCCCCGCAGCTGCCCGACCTCCCAGGGACCTCTAAGTGGTGACAAGCTCTGCAGAGAACCACAGTGGCCCGGCTTCCGGCTGGCAGTGGAGGTGGGAGAGCCTGCCCACAGGGAGAGCGAGCCAGAGCCGCCTCTGCCTGCTCTGTGGGGGCCCCGGGGAAGGAGAAAGAGGGCTTGGAAATGCAGCATTGATCACGGGGCGGGGGGCTGAAGGGACGTTAGAGCCACAAGTTACATAACCCCAACGGCCGGCTCCTCCTGCCCCTTCTGGCCAGGCCTTGGTTTGTGGGAACCTGAAAGCCTTTTCCCACCCAGTTCCCAGGGATCGCCAGAGTCTTCCCGAAGCCTTCACCTCAGCCCACCAACACACATCCCGGCGTGATGACACAGCACGGTCTCCCCCAGGCACAGGTCTGCAGTCGGGGTGGGTGCACAGTCCCTCAGCAGTCAATGCTGGTGAGTGCAAAGACTGGACAAGGAGCCTGAGGGCTCCTCTGTGACAAGTGGCGTCATCTGGGGATGTCCCTTCACATCTCAGCCTCCACCCGGTTTAGATCTGGGAACTCCTGAAGCAATTCTCCTCGGCCCCTGCTGACCTTAGTGGAACCTGCAATTGTCCCACCGATCCAACTCCTTTCTGCTGACACAGGGTCCCACGCTCACTCATCAACTGGAATTTGTAACACGACCCCCATGGGACAAGAGCCCCCTCAGTCTCTTTACTCCCTTATAACGCAGCCCCCAGGCACTAGGAGACAGAATAGTAGTGGCCCTCAAGCCACTTACAGGGTCCACAGAACCCCTCACCCGTTTGCTGCAAGATGCTACATGCAAAGCCAAAATAGAGCAGGACGTCAAGATGCCAAAGGAAAATCAAATATATATATATATATATATATATATATATGTGTGTGTATGGGACACCTGCCCTACTCACTCACCACACTCACGCTTCACAAGGTCGTACCACAAAGGGACACACATCACAGGGTTGGCACCTCACAGAGGTACACCATAGGGTCACACTTCACAGCGTCACACCTCCCAGAGTCTTCACTTCACAGGGTCAGCACCTCGCACCTCAGAGGGTCACACCTCACAGGGTCACACCACAGAGTCACACCTCACAGGTCACACCTCATAGGGTCAGGACCTCATAAGGTCACAGTTCACAGGGTCACGCCTCATAGGACACACCTTACAGACTCAGATCTCACAGGGTCACACCTCACAGAATCACTTCACAGAGCAGCAACGTGGTGGGGTGATCAGAGGTGCGACGTTTATTTATCTATTTGTTTCTTTGGGGGCCACGCCCGGTGGTGCTGAAGACTGACTCCTGACTCTGTGCTCAGAGATCACTCCTGGTGGGGCTCAGGGGATAGCATTTGGTGCTGGGAATTGAACCTGGGTCGGCAGAATACAGGCAAGCGTTTGCCAGTTGTGCAATCTCTGTAGTCCACAGGTGCAATGTTTAACAGAGAATCCCACCTGGGATGGGTGGAGGGGGCAGGAGGGAAAACCCAGAACAGACCCCACACCCAGTCTCAGCCGGTTGTAAGTGGCAGCACTGTGGCAAGAACAGCAGCTGAGTTCTGAGGGAGGTGTAGGGTTTGCCCAGGGGGCCGCCTGAGGGGAGAGGAAGTCCCAGAGGCAGGCGAGTGGGCTCTTCCCGGTACACAACTCCCCACCTGTCACTAGTCTCCACGCTGATGTCCAACCACCTGCAGAACCTCCCAGTCGATATGTCATGTGGGAATTCCATGAGGAACACTCCGCCCTCTGCTCATGACAAGGTGGATGTCAGTCCATCTCCTTGTCATGACATCAACAGGACCATCTCTGAGCCACCTCAGAGGCTCAGTTCATCCAACTCCTCTGCAATTTACCAGCCAGATACAGGCGAGGGCTCTATGAGCTCACCGCAAGTCCCCAAAGGCTCTTCACTCGCACACCCATCACACAACGCCCCCCTTCCACCTCCTCTGAAGACATACCTGTGCTCAGCCTCTCCTCTCCGCACAGGAGGCAGAACTCTAAGCCCTTTCTGAGGACACATTCCCTTGCTGTCTCCATAGCAAGCCTGCACCCCTCTTTGGCTCCCAAGTCATGCACTTGGGCAGAGAGCCCTCAGCAGTTGCTTCCTCCTCCCTAACCTGCAGCTGTACCTCAGACTCACCCTCATGCACACAGCCACCACAGAGCATAGGTCACTTAGAACGTGTGCTCAAAACTCAAGTCATCACAGAAGGCCGCTTTCTTGGTTCTAAAGGTTGATTACTTGGGTTTTTATGAAAAGCAAATAAAACTTCTCACTCTGGCAATTTTTTATATTAATTTGAAGGGTGTTATATAACAAAGTGCCTACAAATATAGAAAGCATTTTAATATTTAAAACCCACCCACAGAACAGAAGTCCCCCAGAACAGCAGTCAACTTTTAGTTAAGTTCACATTGTTTGAGGCTTCTCAGAAACAGGAATGACATCCCTGGAGGTACAAACCGCTCGAGCACTCACAGGTATTAACAAATACCGCAGACTTGCTCATACATTTTTATTACTAAACAAAACCCCCAGAAAACAGAAAGAAATTCAAAAATTATCCAAATTTGTTTCAAGCAAATTGTATATATGGAGCACCTAGGCAATCTACAAGCAAAAGATCAGCTCAAATTTGCCACTGAGAAACCACTGGATGGGTGGAAACAAAATAAATCTATGAACTTTTTGGAAGAAATAATAAAACCAGTAATCTAATAAATCCACATCAAGTTAAACCCTTCCCCCATACTGTGTCTTACATTGGAGCAGACACAGGAAGTCCTATCTTGTCAAGTACTCGACAACAATGCCCCAGAGACCAAACCAGCGAGTGAGCACTGTCCTCTAAGCAGAGTGCCCCGCAGATTAGTCTTCAATCACCTGTCATCATGATTTGTCTTACTGTTGCTAGAAATCCAATGAGGAAATTCAGCAAAGTAGATCCCCTCCCAAACAAACAAACCAGGGGGCGTGCACACAGTCTCTGCATATAAGCACCCATGCACAGGAAATGACTGATTTAGGAAGAAATAACCCTTGGCAGGAAAGATGCAGCAATTCTCCATCTTTTCTCAGGAATTTTCTGTTTCTTTGATTCACAGACTTTAAATTACAAACTCTAAGAGAGAGAGAGAGAGAGAGTAATTAAATGCTGTCCCATAGGACAATCTGCCCCATATTGTTTTGTTTGCTTCTTAACTTTGAAACAACAAAATTTAGGTTTGCTGCATTTTTCCTCCAGTACATTTTCCTAAAAGTATTCAAACACCTTGCTCACAGCCCTCCAGATACACACATCTGGCCTACAACACAGCCGCCTGATCATTTTTCATTGAGGTACTGAAGGGTTAAGAATCAATATCTAGTCTGATTGGAAACAGATTCCTCAAACAAGCCGACCTGGCCATGAATGGTGTCTTCTTTCCTAAATAAGTACAATCCACAAAGTACTCTGGGTCTAATACATTCAGCTTCCTTGGCATAACAAATTTCTCCTATAAACCCAAGGCAACAATCATCACAATCTATTTCCTGGGGCCCAGAAGGAGTTCTGTGGGCAGAGTATAATGCACACATAGAGCCAAATAATCCACCTTTGTTCATTAATAAATAACCAGCCAATAAATAATCCTGTACTACCAGCAATGAAAAATCAAGCCATCTAAACTAAGCCATCATAAACCTCAGCTTTCCCACGGATCTAAAATGTATCATCTCAAACCAGAAGAATAAAGTGTATTTACCTGTATTTCTGTCTGGTAAGATACAGCAATGCTTCTGAAGGATCCCAGGCAAAACCTGTTTCAAAAGAAACAAAAGAAATTGATTTGGTCATCATCTAGGCAGAGAAAGGCATCTCACTAACTATGGCAAGCACTTTTCTAGTTATATTGTTCTATACTGTATTACATCATCACACCCAAAGTGATCCAGTAAGTTAAGTTCAGAGAAACAGTAGTGATCATCTATGGGGTTAATAAGGTGTCTGCTGAATCTGCCCCATGGAACTGGGTTCTGTTTAAAATCCTAATGGATCCCAGAGAGTCCTAAAAGCTGCACACAGGGATCCAACTGCGAGGCAAATGGGCCCACCAATTTGGGTGATAGCTTTTAAAATATCCGGCGCAATCAGTTTGAAATGGAGAGTTATTGGCTCAGTTGGCTGAGTCTCTCTTTCAGAACTGAAGTTGAAATGCTTTTTACCAAGAATAAAGAACAAAGTGAAACCATGGAAAACAAGACCTGTTTACCTTCCCAGTATGTGGCAGAAAGTGAAGGAAACTGCTACTTAATTAATGGAAGGAAGGTAGAAATAACAGAAAATGACTTTCCCAAGAAAATTCAGTAATGTAAGACAATTGCAAAGCAAATGAAAGAATCTGTAGCTAAAAAGATTCCAGTAAATTTATGGTTGTATTTTGTAAACTCAATTAGAGTAAAAGCTTAACTTCCATCTTAAATCCTGCACACGACGAAGGTGCAGGCATCCCTCAAACCTCCCGACTATGAACATCTGAACTCTGGGCCAAGAAACCAGCATTACTCCTCTGAGACAGGGAAAGATTCTGCCAAGAAACGCCAGGCCACTGGCAGGGCCTGGGTCAGCTTGGAGGTGCTGAGTACAATGAGGTTGAAATAAATATGATCCATGGCCAAAGGCTTTCTCTGGAACAATGATTTTCATCCTCCTCCTCCCTCAAGCCTATAAGAAAGAGCTGAGTGCCCCCCAGGCATAATCCATCGCAGAGAGGAATCACCAGGGTTCAATTCTGAACATATCTAAGAGCAGGAAATAAAGCAATTACCGAATTACTACCTAGAAAAGTTTAAAACACCACTTCTTGCTCACATAAAGCCAACCGTTGACTAAGGACACAGAATAAACACCGGCTGGACAAGCCAGGATCGATTCCACACCAAACTTGCTGAGCTCTGAGTTTTGTCCACTTCTGATGCCACGGTTGTGTGCACGTATGTATTTGTGTGTGTGTATGTGTGTGTGTGATAGAGAGAGAGAGAGACCATATGTTCCCAGTCAGCGCCTTTCGTATTTCAATTCTACTTTAATGATGCTAGATCTACTCCAATTTTTCAACACATTTCTGCTTCTGCCTTGAGACACACTCAGAACACACACATACACAAATAGATATATACACACACCACACACATCAATGTTGCAGAAAATTATTATCCCCATTCCAAAAGGAAAATGACCACAAAAAATTTCAGATATGTTCTTACAGAAGAGACCATTTAACTTAATTTTACAGCATATTTATCTGAGTTTAAACATAGCAGGACTCACCACTTAATGAGTTTAGGATGTCTGTTCCACAACACTGGCACTCACACTGGCCTTTTCTAAATTTCAGGAACTTTGAATTGATAAAGCTAAGAACTTGACATCTAATTAAGAGTTTATATTCCTATAAAGATACTTGAGCTCTCTGGAAAGAAAGATGGCGGCCGCACGGGAGCCTTGTGGACAGCAGGTTTGAGCCGGGCTCGGCGGGAGCGGCGGGGACCTCATGGGAAGGGGGGCTTTGTGGGCCGTCCCCCACGCCCCACCGAGGTCGCCAGCTGCCCCCCACGAGCGGCTCTCCGGCACGGCCACGACTCCAGGGCACAGAAACCAATCTCTTAACTATCTAACTTTTAATAGAAATTCTTCCAGGGTCAATAAGTAAAATAGCAGAAATTCAAAACCGCGCGCAACATCATTTTATTCTTAAACCAAGTTGTAGAAAGCAAATCATTTCACAACGCTGTTTCAGCATATCTGATTGTGGGGGGTGGGTCGTAAACTCTAAACAATAATTGTGCATCTTCTATCGAAACAATCTATCTACTCAAAGTTGATAGAGTATTAACTAGAACTCATCTGCCTCACAAGAATTGGGAGGGGTGGGGGGAGGTGGGGGTCTATTGGGGTTCGGGGTTAAAAATAAGTATTGGTAAAGGGAAATGTGTTTGATATTTACATGACTGAGACCTAAACCCGAAAGCTCTGTAACTTTTCCCACAGTGATTCAATAAATAAATAAATTATTTTTTAAAAAAAAAGATACTTGAAAAAGCAATTTAGTGGGAAAGTTATTTTTCCCCCTAACTTCTGTGAATAGATTATTAAAAAGAATTTCCTAAATCAACATCACTTCCAGCTCAGCCTCTCCACAAAGGTCCTCCCAGTTTCCAGGGAGCCTGTCCAGGTAAGGACGGTGAGTGGGAGGTTTCACCAGCAACAGCTGCACTTTCCTCGTGCAAATAACGGTGATGGCATTCTCAGAAGATGTGAAACCACCCCTAGCTCACCGTGATGAGAATCAACCACAGCTCCTGGAAGTGTGTGAGCCAGTGCCGGGTCTTTGCTGAGGCCTGGCGGGTTCTCTGCAGGTCCCTGTGAGCTGTTCCTGCAGCAACAAGGGCCAGGTATCTGCCTGCCCTCAGTTTCCCTCCCCATGTGCGGGCCCTTCCCTCCCTCTCACCCGCTGCCTCTGGACAATGCTGGCACATGCTCAGGCGGGTGCCTTCTACACAAGAGTGCAGAGGACAGACGCAACAAGAGGCGCTGAGCTGATGCCAACCCCAGAGGCAAGTATTCAAATCAGTGCCCAGCATCAAGAGCCTGACCAGGCTTCCCATGGCACAGAGCTGGCCATAGAGGCCTCTCCTGCCCCTCAGGGTCCATCCCAGGCAAATGGACCTATGGAGCCCCCGGGGCTTGTGAAGCAGGTGGGGAAAGGGGCTGCCCACACACACACACACACACACACACACACACACACACACACACACACGCCTCGCTGTCATACCACGGGTCCCCCCGTGCCAGGAAGTCTGCAGGGAGTACTGTGCGCAGAGCACAGCACTAAGTAGCTCTGTGTCCGGTGCTGCGGTAATGGGGCAGATGGATAGATGCCACTGATGTGAACAGTGGGGCTAGTGCCACCACTGCCCAGCTGGGCACAGTTCCCCTGGAGGGGTCCAGCGGACAGCAGGCCATAGTGTCCACCCTGAGCCCCAGAGGCAGAGCAGCCCTCACACAGAGCTAACAAGCCACAGACAGACATGCAGGCAGGCGGACCGGTGAGCCACGGTGATCTATTTCAAGCTCCCGGAACTTCAGAGACGCACCCTCAGCTCCAGGCCTGAGCCAGTGCTGCCCACACCAAGACTTTTGCCAACATGCACATCTTCCAGGCTTCATTTTTCTTATTTTTCTACTGTGGACTGCAGTGCACACTGGTTCCATCTATTTAATTAAATTTATTTGCAGTGTTAGAAAATTTGAGTGCATACACCCTAGGTAGCTGAGATAAATCACAAGATCGTGTTCATTTAACTGATCATCTCAGCACAGATAAAATGAGTTCAACAATTAATTCTTCAGGATTTTCCCATCATGAGCTTCCTCATTTCCACGGAACAGAGGAAAGTGATGATTTCCAGAGATTCTCCTGAAAAGTCTAACCACTAAAGCACAAGTAAAGAAATACTGATCTTGTAATTGAAACCCAAGCACAAAATTTGTAAGTCATGGTGTCTGTAACCTCATGGTGTCTCACTAATAAAAAAAGAAAAATAAAAGAAATATTGATCTTGTGTATTACCTACCTGTTTATAAAGGCTTATATTACCTCCCATTATATATATCATCTAAATACCTATCTATAAACATCTAGCTTTCATATGTCTGTTTACATGGGAATGGATGGATGAGTGATGGGCTAGGTGGATGGATGGATGGATGGATGGATGGATGGATGGATTGATGGATGGATGATGGATGGATGGGTGTGTAGTAGATGGGTCAGTGGGTGGATGGGTGAGTGGTTGTATGATGGGTAGATGGATGGGTGGATGGATAAATGAGTGGGTGGATGGCTGATGGATGGATAGGTGAGGAGATGGATAATGGATGGATGGCGGATGAGTGATGGATGATGGATGGATGGGTGGATGAATTGGTGGATATATTGGCCATGGATGGATATTCAGATAGGTAGCAGGTAAGTAGGGAGAAATTCATTACAGGCATGAGCTCCCATAACATGGAACAAGACTCTCCTCCCTCCCTCACCCTTATCCTTGAGCTGTAGCCCCGCGGGCCCTGGTAAAATCTGCACAAAACTCTGAGGCCCGGGGGGGGGGGAGGATGGACACCAAAAGCTGACATTGGGAGTGCTAGGAGAAGCTCAGGTCATCAGTGATCAGGAGGGGTGGGGTGCTCCTTCCTCTGCTCTTGTTCATCAGGCTCTGTAGGGGCTGGAGAGACACCCCTGGAGGCAGGTTCCAGGCTGCAATGTTGGTTCTGCCGAGGCCCCTAGACACACACACAGGTGGATGTGAAGCCTGTCTGGGCCCCTGGCCTCATGGACCCTTGAGTACACAGAAGGCCTCGAGAGAAGGTGGCCTGTCACCTGTGGGGGACCTGGGGGAGCTGTCCTGAGCTCACCACTCTCACCCGGGTGGGGGGGGGGCAGATGCTGGCTCAACTCCAACAGGAGGCCCCTAAAGACACTGCTCCCAGGGACCCTGCAGAGACACAGCAGCAGCTGTGTAAGGATCTGGGGCCCGCTGGGTCCTGGTCCTGCCTGCACAACCACCAGCAAGGCCATGCAGCAGCGCTGCGCAGGAGGACAGCAGCTGACTACGGGGTGCAGGGTATGCCCAGCCTCCACAGAGAGTGGGTCAGGCGCACTTAGCCCAAATCCTGCTGGGACCACTTTGGCCCGGTGCCCAGTACTATCCCTGATTGTCTATTCTCTGCTGGAGCCCCATGTCAGCTGTGGGTA